GCCCTATGTGAATAAACTAATTTATTCTCACAAAAATCCTATTCAAAGTGAGCACAATTTTTTGTGCAATATACTGTATATATGTATTTACATGCAGTATAATGTGTATGTGCAGTTGAACTGTAATAATTCTACATAATAAAACAAAAAAAGGGAAAAATGTAAAAAAAAAAGTAAGCACTATTTTTACCCCCATTTTTCAGAGGGGAAAACTGAGGTGAATTAGTTCACCCAAGGACAAACAGTGCATAAATGGCTAAGCTGGGATTTGAACCCAGAAAATCTCACTGGGGAGGCCAAGATTGTCTCAAAACGTGAGCATCCTGCTAGCCAGCATTTAGAAACATCATTCCTCACAAACTTGGGACTGCTCCCACTTTTGGTTGTACCACCTGCCTAGGACTTGCTGAGTGGTGAGTCTGGGCGCCGTTCTGTGACCAGTCATGTGTCCACAGCCCTGTGTGGCTGTAAGACTCTTAACAAGCACACCCCAGCCCCGAACATGGAGGGTTGATGATATTCCCTGAAAAAGAGACAAGGTTCTCCAACACTCCTGACAAATGGTGGAGAAATGACTTTGAAATCTTGGGAAAGTTTTGCCACTCTCTGAAAACCCATTTCTTTGTCAGTAAAATGAAGAATCTGGATGAGCTAACTGCATGGGCTTCATTTCAGCATTAAAAAAAAGAAGTTATAACTCCAAAACGACAAAGATAACAATCTTTTTGGGGAGGGGTAATTAGGCTTTTATTTACTTACTTATTTTTAGTGGAAGTACTGAGGATTGAACCCAGGACCTTGTGCATGCTAGGCACACACTCTTCCACTGAGCTATACCCTCCCCCCTCAAGACAAAGAGAACAAGTGTTGGCCAACATGTGGAGAAAAAGGAACCCTTGTGCACTGTTGGTGGGAATGTGAAATGGTGCAACCACTGTGGAGAACAGAATGGAGGGTCCTCAAAAAATGGAAAATAGAACTACCATGTGATCCAGCAATTCCACTCCTGGGCCTTGGTCATGGTGCCAGCTCACCTGCACTTCAGTTAAGGAAGGGAGTGGGCACCCAGAGTTCAAGAGTCCGGAGTGGGGTCCGGGAATCTGCATCTCTAACAGGTTCTCAGGGGATGCCACCTGCTGCTGCTCTAGGCACTGCACCTGGAGAACCACTGCTCCGGGTGACAAAAACTTTCTCGATGACAAACAATAATGTGGGCTCCCTGAGCCACACCTGAGACTGACTGGAGCCAGCCCTGCGACCCCCTACGCACCTCCTTCTGCCGGGTGAACGGTTCCCGATCACAGCGAGAGCTCAGCCCCCACACCAGCCACGCATGGAGGGATGTGCTCTGAGCCTGCAGACCAGTGCTGCAGAGGACGCCGGGCTCCAGGCCCTCGGAGAAGAGCACTTACCTTCAGAGAAGATGATGTGGTCGTTGCACTCATCGGAGCTACAGGAACACATGAAGAAAGTCTCTCCTGACCCCTTCTTTTCCTTCATGATACACTTGGGAGAAGCCGCGTCGTCGAGAACAAACCCGTGGTAAGCGATCTTGGGGTCGTGGCAAACCGTCTCTAGTGTGATGTTCTCATCATTCTTTCTCCTGGGGTGGGGCAGAGATGGGGGTGGGTGAGCGTGGGCTGTGCACAGAGAAGCAGTCTGAGTGGTATTTCCCTCCAGCTGTTTCTTTTTTTAAAAAAAATTTTTAGTGAAGTACGGTCAGTTACAATGTGTCCATTTCTGGTGTAAAGCACAATGTCCTAGTCTTGCATATACATACATGTATTTCTTTTCATATTCTTTTCCATTATAGGTTATTACAATATTGAATACAGTTCCCTATGCTGTACAGTAGAAACCTGTTATTTTCTCCATGGTATTTAGTATATGAAAATCTCCAACTCCCAATTTATCCTTTCGCACCCCTTCTGGTGACCATAAGTTTGTTTTCTAAATCTGTGAGTCTGTTTCTGTTTTGCATATAAATTCATTTGTGTCTTTTTTTTAAGATTCCACATGTAAGTGGTATCCTATGGTATTTTTCTCTCTCTTTCTGGCTTACGATTTCCAGGTCCATCCATGTTGCTGAATATGGCATTATTTTATTCTTTTTTTTTTAAATTGAAGTACAGTCAATTACAATGTGTCAATTTCTGGTGTACAGCACAATGTCTCAGTCATGTGTATACGTACATATATTCATTTCCATATTCTTTTCCATTATAGGATACTATAAGGTATTGAATATGTTCCCTGTGCTGTACAGTATATACTTGTTGTTTATCTGTTTTATATATAGTATAATATAAATTATGTTATGTGTGGTGTGTGTGTGTGTGTGTGTGTGTGGTGAAATGGGGGGATCGGGGAGGGAGAGAAAGAGACAGGAGGACAGGAGGGAAGGGAAGAAGGACTAAGATAAAGACATGGCTCTGCTCCCAGAGAAAGATGCAGCAGGCAGCCCACTGGAGGTTGATGTCTCGGCCAAGGCTTCTAAGGAACAGGTCGTCTTCTGATTCCCCTTTTATGACAGGGGCTTCCCTCTCCTCACAGCCCACCTGTCATTTCCATGCAAGGGGACTGAGTTTGCCTCTGAAGAACAAAGCTCCTGGCATCACTGCCAGCTCCCAAAGGGTGTCAATGACTAGGAAGTGGCACATCCTGATCCTTGACACAGTTTCTATTGTAACTTTTTTTTTTTGTCACGGGGGAGGTAATTAGGTTTACTTATTTATCTGGTTTTTTGATGGAGGTACTGAGGATTGAACCCAGGACTTCGTGCATGCTAAGCATGCACTCTAGCACTTGAGCTGCACCCTCCCGCCTTATTTTAACTTCTGTAATAATTTCTACTGCTATTTAATTTACATAGCTATGAGACATAATAAAGGAGTGTATATGCATTTGAAAATGTGCAGAGTACTTCAAGCGAGTACACTGGATGACTGATGGAGAGGGAAGGCACATGAGCTGGGAGGTGATGCTTGGGGCGTGGAGACACGTGACCTGGATCACTTACCAAAGCGGGAGAGAAAGGTCTGAAAGGCAGCCTTACCAGACGGCCACGCAGACTTCATGCGGCTTCTCGCAGATAGCCGTGATGCTGCAGTTGCTCAGGCAGGATTTCTGGTTGTCACAGGTGGAGGCGCGCACGTCGCAGAACTTACACAGTTGCGGAAGCTTGACGGCGCCGTTATTGTCCGTGACCAGCATGTCACTGTTCACTGGGAGGGAAGAGAGGGATGTGTGACTATCCAGCTGCATAGCAACGGCCCGTGAATTCCTGATGACCTGGTGCTTTCTCAGAGGAGGAACCCGATGTCAGGCGTGAGAATGGGGAGAAAGACGCTCAGATGCCCCCGCGTGTGCAAGGTGCAGGGAAGGCCTTGGCGGGGTGGAGGTGGCTGGGGTCGGGGAGGTTGCTCAACTTCTTGCCCTTGTCAGTGCGCATCATACGGCGTTCTTTCTACCAACGCCTCCTCCTTCAATCCAGAAACAGTCTGGGTCGGCCCACTGCATTGGACTGGGAGCACGAAACACTCGCCCTTAAGGAAATTGTAGTTTCCCTGGTGGATGGACACAGAAACAGACCAAGGCAGGGCCACCCAGAACAGAGAGAGGCACAGAGGAATGGGAATCAGGCAGGTGTTGCCACCTCACAGGCAGAGGGGGTCACGTAGAGCAGAGCTGGTGCGTGTGGAATGGGGTCCGCCGGCTCGGAGGAGCCCCAGGGGTGAGGTGGGACTCTGCCATTGCTCCCCTGACCACCCCACCACCCCCAACACAGCTGTCCAGACCTCCTTCGCAAGGGCCTGGCTCTGATGTCTCCTGGTTGCCTTGAGTGAACTCAGTTGATGAAGTGTGTCTCCTGGACACACAGGGTAAGGCCTGAGGTCCTGCAGGTGACCCCCAGGAGGTTCAGCCTGAAGGTCTGTCCCGGGCCACCTCTCTGACCTCATCCATCCCGCCGCCACCCTCCAACTGACTCCTTGCTCACTGCATTTTAGGACACACAGGCCTTTCCTGGAAGAAGCCAAGTTCCTGACTTCCTCAGGCCCCCCCCTGCAGTCACCCTTCCTGGTCTCTGGTGAAACGTCACCTCTTCCCCCCAAAGCACCCCCCAAGGACCAGCAGAGAGCTTTGTTCTCTCTTCTGCTCACACACTCTCCATCACTCTCTGGCCTCTAATCTAGCCACCAAAACTATGCTCAACCAGACCTTCTCTCCTGGTCTCCAGTTTCCTCCAGGGCCAGGAAGAGGGGCCGGCATGGAGAAGACACCCCAGTGTGGGCACTGCGTCACTGGGGACTCACGAAGACATAAGGAATGGACGACGGAAGTTCATCTTTGGCTTCTGCACCAGGTGGGAAGGGTCCAGACCTTCTTCCCACTCGTCAGGGGGGTGTGATTATACACGCAGTAGCCAGGCACACCCACGCATAACTGAAGACAGACTGTCTTTGGGAACATGTGCTATACACACCGAAAGGTGACAGAAAAGGTGCAACACCCCTTCCCGCTCCTCTCCCTCAATGAGATCCTTTTCCTTTGGCCCTGGTGGTTAACTACAGGCATGAGTCTGGAGAGCAGGACAAGGCTGTTGGGTATCTGGCCAACAAACATGAACTCAGGACACTTCTCTGCTGGACTAGGAAAGGTTAGGCACCCGGACAGCAGGTGCCGCTAGACCAGACTGGCCATCAGGAGGCAGGAGGTGTGTCCCCCCCCAGGGACCAGCCTCCACCAGGCCTAAGCAAATGTCCCTCGTCCTCTCGTGTGTTAAGCACCCTCCTGCCTAAAGCTGGATGCGCAGTTTCAACGCCTTCCCACGGCCCGCCCTGGCTCGTGAATTTGAGTTTCTGTCATCGGCACTTTGCCACCCGAAGCCCTCTGTCGCCTGGGCACAGCACCTGTTTCCTGGGTCTCTAAAAATATAAACATAAATTTAAGACGTGCTTTCTTGTGGCACATTAAATATAGAAGCAAAAAATAAACCCATTCATCCCTCCTAGGCCTCAAGTTCATTTCAGGAAGTGTATTTTTAGGTAACAAACTATTTTGAAATTCTCAATGTCTCCCAGACCCAGAGCTCTAAACTTAGCTGAAAACACAGGCCACAATGCTCTCTGAATCTTGTGTTCAATCTGAGACCAACACAACAATGAGTATATATATCTATATCTTTGACAATGGTTAGATTTGGATCCATTTATGAACCAGCTAAGTTAACCCTTCAGGCTTCCCTAGAAGACATGGCAAAGCAAAAAACAAAACCGTAAACTAGGCCATGTTCTGTTTAGTTTCAGACAAACTATTTGCCGGTTGGAAAGCTTTGTTGTTCTTAAATATAAAACAAAGCCTCCATGACGTGGAATTCTGCCTTCCCGCATTTTAGGATTTTAGCCTATAGTAGTGGTTATCAACTTTGGGGGCGTGTTGGAATCCAATACCTAAGGAGCTTTAAAAAAAGCCGTGAAGCAGCCACCCCACCCCAGCCCCCAACATGCTGGAGGGTGGCCTGAGCACCAGGGTTTTCAGAAGCTGCCCAGATGATTCTCAAGGTGCAATCAAGGCTGAGATGCTGACTTGGAGACAGTGTGAAACAACATCACTGGCACAAAGTAAACGACAAAAAATCCCCTCCCTCCCCACCGGCGCTGCACGCACAAACACACAGGTGACTTATGGGACAGTGACGGGGTAGCCCCCCAGTCAAGCTGGGAGACGTCTCCTTGTGAAGGACATGCACCTCAAGCCATGTGATGCGTGCTCTGACACCGCAGATGGAAAGGAGCTTCCCTGGGCTGGCAGATCCTCTTCTAACAGAAGCTAAAAACAAAAGTGTGAGAAAAGGAGTGGCGTCGGGAGTGACGGGAGAGGGAAAAGACAGCTGTGACGGGGGCTGGACGCAGCGTGGCAGCCACAGATGTGTTGACGAGTGTAAGTGCTTTAGATCTGATGCCTGCAAAACCCAATCAGGGAAGACACAAAAGAAATAGCCAAAACCAAAAAAAAAAAAAAAAAAAACCAAAGGGAAGAAGAAGAAAAAGGAAGGAAGAAAGAAAGAATAAAGGAAAGAAGAAGAGAGGGGCCAGCAGGCTACATGGTTCCGGGACCCCTCCGATGACCCCTCCGATGGCAGACGGACACACGGGTGCACAGCCTTGCTGCCCGACGATGAGGCGGGAGCGGGAAATCGCTCCACCAGATGCTGGGGAAAAGGCAAAAGGCCAACTTCACTTCATATTTGGAGGCACAGGCACGTGGAGAGAGGAGGCGGTGTGCAATGGGAACGTGTACATATTAAGCACCCACTGTATGCAAGTTAACCCAGCCAGGGGGCCTCATTTTTTCCTTCGTTAAAGCAAAAGCTACCACAGCCAAGGTGAGCAAACTTGTGCACTTGATCAGCTCTTTAATCTGAATTTGAAAAATTCAAAAGCCTTTACACAGGCTTACACTCCCATTCCTGCAGCCCCGCCAGCCACTCCCTGCGAGCTGACCTCAGGAGGCTCCCCACCTGGTCAATTTTGCCAGCAACTCACATCCCTCCGCTTGAGGCCAGTGCTGTCCTCGGCGAACACGTGCATTGGTGGGAAAGCCCCCTCCACCTTTGTTGAAGGGGGGTCACCTAATTCTGATAAAAGTGTTCCGAGCTCCCTCTGGGGCGAGGGGCAGAGAGAAATGCATACACACCTGTGCTCATCCTTCCAGCGGGCTGGCTCACAGATTCCCTGATGGCCCCTGAGCCCCAGGCGAAGAATCCCATCACAGAGCCCACTGAGGACCTGCAGGACAGCTCTCACCTGATCAGAGTGGGGCGCAGGGCCGGCCAGCAGGGCGGAGGGTGGAGATGGTTATTCATTCCACGTACAACTGCCTCTGTGCAGCCCCAGAGGTTACTGTCGTGATCTCAAGAAGCAAACAACACTTATATAAGTCTCACACTTACTGCTTGTGAGGTCAAAGGAGTGAAGATACGTGTGCCTAGCCAGGGACGAAGTTGTTACTTCAAACAACAACACAGCGAAAGCCTCCTGATTAACTCTACAGCAAACCCTACCGACTTGCAAATTCCTTCCAGTGCTGGCCTGAGAACGCTGCTCCCCAGTGTCTTCAGTTAAGATCCTCTCATACGAAGGTGTATTTTATGGCCTAGACACCCTCTGGGAGCAGCCCACTGCCTCAGAGGATTTTCTCCCCAGAGCAGGCACATTAGCTCGTCATCGCGTGCTCTAGAATGAGACGCTCTCTCGCCTAGAAAGCCAGCCGGCGAAGGAAGTGGGCAGGGACGGCCTGTTCTCGTTCCGCATATGACAGGGTCATGTGGCCCATCACACTTCCTTCTCTTCAAACAGACCCAGGGTAAGAGCAAGCCCTTCAGTCTAAATCATATCGCCTTCCTCATTTGAGGGCTCGTTTCCCCCAAACTCGCTGCCTAGAGACATAGGTCCCAGGTCTTGAGAAGATGAACCAAGGATGTGCTCAGTTCTGTCTGTTTCTGGAACAGGGCTGTCGCCCTTGAAAGTCAATGAGGAGCAGCCGAGTAAGGTTCAGCCTTACTCCAGATAAATCGGACGGATCTTGCATGCAGCTTGTCAGTCCGTACCTTTGGAGTGGTGTCTACATGAGCTGAACTATTAGGTGAAACCTCAAAATTCCAGAAATAACCCCAGACACTCTGCCAGGAATGCACTGGCCTGTCTTTGAATTCACGCATCCGTCCACCGTCACTGTGTGGTGCATTTCGGGGGCACTTAGGACTGCATCTGTTCCACAAAAACCTGTGGATGTCTTGCTTATAGTGCGATGTCCTTCACAGCAGGATCCTTAAAGCTGATATAACCAGGTGCAGCATCTCAAAGAGGAACACATGGCGACTGGTGGACAGAACTCACTGGGACTCAGGACACTGCTCCTTGGACATTAATAAGCACAGAAAGCCCCTGGGAATATGGGTGTGTGTGTGTGTGTGTGTGTGTGCACGCACGCGTGCGCGCATGTGTATTGGCTCATACACTCGTGAGGCGGGCAAGTTGGAAATTTCTAGGGCTGGTTGGCAGGTGGAAATTGAGGCAGGAATCAATGGTGCAGTTTTGAGGCAGAATTCCTTCTCTGGGAAATCTCAATTTCTGCTTGGGAGGCCTTCCAACGGATTGGATGAGGAGAATCTACTTTTCTGAAAGTCAGCTGACTGTAGTTGTTGATTCTCTGCCACGTCCGTTCACGGCGGCACCCGGATTCGTGCCTGATGAAAGACCGGG